CCCCAAAACCCCAAAACCCCAAAACCCCAAAACCCCATAAGATTGAATCATTGTTAAGTAATCAATTGATAAAATCTATAATCAATATTTTATAAATCATTAAATTAGCATATTTAATAACAACTTATTAATTATAGGTACAAAGTTAGTCACACATTATAAAAATATAAATTTTAAGTGTTCCTTGATTCTTAAGTGAGATTTTAAAATATTAATCAAAGAAAACAAACTATTATGAACTCTAACCCTATCTTTCACTCAAAAATCGATAAAGACTATAGCGACATTCTAATCAATCAATCAATTGATTAGTCATTGGAAAATGATTAATTATTAGAGTTTTAAGAACTTAATTAAATTGATAGCGCCTCAACTAGCTTTCCCACAATTAAAATTGATGATGAAGATTTTTTTGGAGTTAGCTCCTGGTGGGAACAACTTCTTATTACATAAACAAATTAAAGCTAGAATTATGATGACACAAGCTATGATTTATCAAAGAACAAATGGTTTTAAGTAAAGGTAGATTAGGAATCTAATCAGAATCCTAAAAGCTTTCTTAAATCATTAATAGAAAAAGAACAATAATCATAAAACACTAAAATTTAACCTTAAGATCAAAGTAATCCAACTAATTTGACCATATAATTACCTAACGAAGATAATTAAAGCACTTAAACATAGAATGGAGGAATTAGTCACAGTGAGTCTGATTTTGAAAAAACTTATTAATCTGATCTATCTCCTTCAAATTCAATTAGCTCAAGTAAGCAAAATTCTATACGTCATATTAATTGAAATATGGTCAAAAAAATTTTTAATACTGTTGGGGTATAAGCTAGCGTAATTAATCATAGAGGCCGAGGTAGACCCAAGAAATTAAAGTTTTTGAAATCCTCAAACAAATCAACGATATTATCTATCTGCCGAGCATTTGTTAAAAGCTTAATGATAAACAAATCAATTTATAACATCAACGGGGTATATTAGGAATTAGTAGAAAATTAATTCGTATAAGATTAGATCAGAAGAATTAATACAGATCTGAGTTATTCAACCAACCCTGTCGAAAATGATCGATATAGAATGAAAAAGATAATAACGAAATCCAGAAAGTTAGAAAAGAATAATCTTGAAAAATTAAGCATCCTTGGCAAAATAAGGTACAGATTCAGCTTGAAAAATATTAAAAATTTTCTTTCGGATTCAGTTTACAATTATCTCTTCAGGCATTTTTTGTTGAGCTTAAATGAACAGAATTCTTAAACATTTAACCAAGAAGTTGTAAGTCAAATGTTGAATGAGTCAAATTGGTTGGCAGAATTCTAATGAATTAGATAAAAGTCAATCAATCAAGGGACTGCTAAATCTCTCTCATTCTGAACCTAACAGACTTTTACTTCATAATTTATAATTTATCTAATTTATTTATATCTCTTAATAATCTTGTGGTTGTTTCAGGGGTTTTGGGGTTTTGGGG